GGAAAGAGATGAAGTAAAGTTAAGTCCATTGTTTCAGCCATTCAACCAGCCTTATTGCTGGATCCCAAACCTTCGAAAGGGAGGGAGGAGGTTTGGGGCTATTTCTAAAGTAGTGAAAATAAAAATGAGGGGGAAGGGAGGGATTCCCCTATTATTATGTTAAAAGAGTATGACTCCCCATACATAGAAGACGTTTATGACTTTGAGATTTAATGCTTAACAACAGTTTAAGGACTTTTAGTCCAACTAAATACATGATGTGAAATAAGATTTTGTCTCACATTGTAAGATTTCAGAATCTTAATGGCAAATCTACTCATGCTTTCAACTCAAAAGTTAACTGAACCTACAAACAAAGCCCATGCCTTCCAATTTACTATGTAAAAATTTTCCCAAGCATCCCAAAATGTAGAGGTTAATAGTCATACACTAACACTTGGCATTCAAACTTATATTTTAATAGTCCTCAGAAAAAAATATACCCGATGCATTCAAAATCCTTTAAAATGTCACCAAAAGGAAATAATTTTTCTCCAGTTTTAAGTTATTTTTGGTAGTCATATTAAGCTAGCTAACCTGTTGACAATATACTCCAAATTACCATTCTTCCATTCAAATTGAAAATCAATGTTCCTAGAATCTTCAATTACACAAGGGTGAGTCTTTGTTTTTTATGTAAGTGGAATTCTGGGTAGAGAGTCCAATTAAAAGTCTCGCACCTGAAACTTGTATAATTTTATTAATAGTGTCACCCCAGCAAATTCAATAAAAAGTAAAAAAATTTAAAAAGCAATTTGAAAATAGTTTTACCTGACGTGAACACTGTCTTTAAGTGAAATTCACCGTAGGTCACCGAGGGAATTGGCAATCACAAAAGAAAGTCTTTAAAAAGGTGAAACCTTTATTTATTTTTTAACAACTTGGTCTTTGAACCTTGAGGGCTGTTTCCAAATATTCGAAGCCTAGGGCAGATTCGAACGGTTTTAAAGATTATCTGCCAACTTTCCTCCACCTGTTAACTGAACCAAATGACGAATATACCTTTAAGCAATCAAAACAGCTGGCACTGAATGATTCCAAACTTGCAAGACCTTTACACAGTGAAACCGCACACGGGATTCCGCACTGCTAATGAAAAGGAAAACTAACTGCGGAATCCGACTCTACTTTCTCACAGCAAAGAAGCATTTTTCCCCTACGGTGTGTAGAGGGGCCTGAACCGTGGAACCAGTGTAGCCAACCTGCAACAGGATCAGAAAGATCTAGCAAAAGTGCTTAAAAAGGAAAAAAAAAAAAAGCGGAGCGAAGTGTTCTCCAAAGAGGGAAACGGCGGAGAACCCCCCACCTCCGAACGGGGTGGCGGGCCGGCTTCGCAGGCGGGTGAGCGGCGGCAGGTCGGATGGATCCGGGCCTTTCTCAAGGTCACTGTCGCGCACAAGAACCGCCCGGCCCGGACTCCCGGTCCGGCTCCGACCTCCCCTC